AATCGGGAACACCCTGATAAAAATTTAATCTCTAAACCTGTATTTGTAATTAAAATAAACTCTAAATTAAAACAAGATACACACATACATTAAAAAACGTATCATATCGGCATAGATTAAAAGTATGATAATATCCCCAGTTGGCCAAGGTTTGGGGAAACATGTAGCATTCAAACACTGTTGGTGGGAATGTAAATTCGTATGGTCTCCTGGAGGGTGATTTGGCAACGCACATCAAAAGCCTTAAACATGTGCAAACCCTTTGGTTTAGCAATGCGAATTCTAGACACTCATTCTGAGGAGATAATCATGGAAATAGACCTAAATTTATTCCCAGGACACTAACTATCATGGTGAAACATTGTAAATAGATATATAAAAAAACACCATTTGGAGACTAGTTAAATAAACCATACATGTGATTAAGAACCACGTGGCCATTAAACGGGACTTTCCAGAAGATTTTGTGATGAGGTGCAGAAATCTCACGATACACTTATTGGAAAAAAAAAGGCTACTAAAAGTATGTTCACTGTGATCCCATGTTTTCATAACAACACATATAAAAAAGATTTGCTTGTTAAATATGGGGAAGGTGACACATACTGAAATGTCAAGAGAATTTATAGTGAATATGCCTTCCACTGTAGTCAGAAGGTGACCAATTGGGGGGGGGCAAGGAGGACAGTCACCTCCATACGAGGACAGCACAGACCAGCCACCCTGGGCCTGTGCTGGCTTTGCATCCACCCTCTGCCCTACAGACAGACACCTATGGTTTTGATGTCCTGGGCCCCCCAGACCCTCTCGTTTGGTCCACATAAGGGCTTGGTTTCACTCAGGGAAGGGGGCAGCCTGGTCGAATGCGGACAACACAGCTGGGATCATCTCCACCTTGACCTTCCTCCTCTGCCCACTTGGGAAGTGGCAAGTTTGCAGGAACAAGGGAGATCCTCCAGCGTAGGAGGCACCAAGCTCACCACGCTGCAGCTCCCTTCTCGGACACTGACCACTCTTGACGTCTTTTCCTCTCCACAGACTGCAAACGGACGCAGCAGACCAGAATCCTTCTTCTTTTTTTAAAAAAAGCCTTTCTTTCCTTCTTCTCGAGCGGCTACTGCATAGCATGCAGGTGCACCTGGCCCTAGCCATGGTCTTCCTACCACCCCACGTGCATGGGGACCCTGGGCTATGGAAACAGGAAGATGGAAGAGGAACTGCTGCATTTGCATTGCGGTGTTGGCAAGGAGCACGGACTATACCAGGGACTGCCGGAGAACGAACACACCCGTCTGAGGAGGAACACAACCAGAATGTTCCCTCGAAGCAGGATGGGAGTTTCGGCTCACAGACTCCGGACATGTTGTCAGGAAAGACAAACCACTACAAGAGGATATGAAGGTTGGTAAAGGAAAGAGGGTCAGACAAATGAGGGCAATGTTCAAGGAGATGGACTGACACAATGGCTGCAGTAACGGGCTTACACAGAACAGGGACACGTTGCCTTCTGCTGCAGAAGGGGTCGCCCTGAATCAGGAGCTCACTCCACCCTGTCAACGACAACAGCTTCCCATTGATCTTGGACACCAGGGGTTATGAATCCTATTTAATCCTCCACCTCTGCAGGGGGGGTTACCCCCATGTTCTCAGAGAGGTAAGCTGTCTTTCCAAGTTCACCCAGCTGAGCTGATTTGAACGTGGGTCTGGTAGACTCAAAGCCCAGGGTGACTTTCTGTACAAGGGGCCTGCCCTGCAGCCCAGGCCCCTAGCACCAAGGTTACCATCCTGACCTTGGAGATGACCTTATGGAGCTATTTGTAATAGACCCTAGCTGGAGGCCAGGCGGAGCTCCCCTGCTCTCCACAGGCCAGGTGAGAAATCCGCATTCCTGCCCACAACAGAGGGCCCTGGGGTGGGTGGGGTGGGGTGGAGGAGACCATTTTCCTTGGGCAGGGAAAACCAGCAGGTGTCCCCCACAACCTGTGGGTCTCCTGAAAGCTGGGCCAGCTCTCTTGGCAGTGCCAGGGTACTTGGAGGCACCCAGCTGGGAGGGTGGGCTTTTAGCGAGTGTCGGTGGCCTGCGCTCCCGGGCCCAGGGCTGTGTGCACTCATGGACAGGGTGCCAGCTGTCCTGGTCTCCGGGAAGCCATGGGCTATAAAGTCAGCTGCCTGGAGATTTTGAAAGGTGCCTTTCCCCCTGGGCCTCCAGTTGGGGCTCCTCTGTGACCGAGGGCCCTGGCGTCCAGAGCTGCATGCACACACACAGAGGTCGGCGAAGGCTGACTGGCCCTACAGCCCCTTCTTCCATTTTCATGCCAGACGGTCTCTTGTGAGTCCCGGGCCTCCGGGCCTCCCTCTCCCAACTCTGATGCCTTAGATCCCTTCTCCAGGCCAAGCTCTGGACGGACATCCCAGCTCTCGACAACTCCACCTCGAATTCCCTGATAATCCTGTAGTGACCCCAGAAACAGAGGCCACCACGTGGGGCAACACATAGGGTCACCCTGCGGTGCCCCATGCTGACTTCATTTCTTCCACTCTCTGGTGCTCCCTGGAAAGGAGCTTTGTTGTCCCCTTTTTGCCGATAAGGAAACTGAGGCTCGGGGAAGTTAAGCGGCGCGCCCAAAGCTTCACAACACCAACTGCCTGGCCACCACCCTTGTCCCCTGGAGGAGTGGCACGGTGTGGCAGGGGTGGAGGGGAGCCTCTGTGGAGGTTTGGAGCGGCTGAGGGCAAACTTGCAGCCAGGTCTGGGAGCAGCCTCTCCACCTGCGATGCCTGGGGGCGGGCCTGCAGCCAGGGGGAAGGACCCCTGGGGGGTTGCTGGTTTGCCCAGAAGAAACGCATGTGGGGGAAGAGAAGGAGTTCCCTCACCCAGCCTCCACCACCCCTGCCCCTTGGGTCCTGAGACTATACCGGCAAGAAGGGCTACCCCGAGGGAACGAAGTCACGAGGACCTCGCAGTCCTGCTGGTTGGTCCAGCGCATAGCCCCAAGACCACCAGCTGCTGGCACCTAGGCCCTGACTCCTGGTGCCCCCCCAAGTGTGCTTTATAGCGTTTTCAAGGGCTGATGCTTTGGAAGTCGGCTGCCAGGCCTTTCTTTTGTGGCATCTCTGGGTGGATTTGAACTGCTGTCCTTTTGGCTAGCAGATAAGCATGGTACCAGGCACAGCAGACCCCAGGACAGACAGATCCTGGTGAAAGCCTGTGATCTCCACAGACGGTTGAGGCATGCGGATACGCAGAGGCTCTGTTGGTCAGGAAGGGGGCCACCCCTTCGGCTTCGGTGGGACAGGTTGCTGGGGAGCAGATGGGGCCCTAGCTGTTTGTGACATCAGGCTCCTCCGTGCCTTCCTCCTCCTGTGCGCTGAGATTCCATGCACGGCCAGGCACTTCCCGTCTGAGCAGCCAGTCTGCCTACTGCCCTGACTGCCTGGGACGCCCCACGTTGGATGCTGAGCCCTGCCTGGCTCCAGTTTGGCCAACTTTCTGAGGGCTGGGTGGCCACACACAGTGTGCCTCACTTGTAGCTGTCCCCTCCCCAATCTCATTCAATTCTGACAACAACCTCTCCCGAGAGGTTTCAGAGACAGGGAAAAGGGCACCTTCTCCAAGGTCACACACGGAGGAGGCAGCGAGCAGGAAGCCCAGGTCAGCTCTCCCTGGTCCTCGGGGCAGGGTTCGGCTCCACAGCATTCTGGAAGGGTAGCTCCTGCCAGGTCTGGGGACCACCCTCCCCATCACCAGCCTGTCCTGATTCTGGATAGATCCAGTTATCACAAAGGCCTCTGTGTCAACCAACGCCGCTCCCCCATG